TTTGAGTGTCCTTTCCCCCTAATATGTATGTGTATGGCTGCCACCCCCAGCCCCTCTCTGCTCCAGCTGCTCTGCCTGATTGGAGACATGCCCTTTTTGTCCCTGCTGGCTTCCATATTTTACCATATCGTTATGAGCTCAGAGACGTGTTGCATTATGTGGAAAGGACGAAGCTGTTGAAGAGCAAAACAAACCCATAGCAAAAATTACATTTTTCTTTTTATTTGCATCAACATTACTGTTACAAGGCAGACTTGGACAATGTGAGATAGTGTGAGACTGCACAAATGCCAACTTTTGTAAATTTCAAAAGAGTTGAAGTTGGCTGGATGATATTATTAAAATTGTGATCACACTTTATGTTAGCATGAGCTACTGCATACAATAATGTGGATTGTAATACAGCGTTAAAATCTTTAAAAGGAGGTATAACATAAACCTCCTTATATACATGTAATGTGCTATTTTCTAATACTATTTCTAAGATTTGATAATCAAGTATATTAAATGTATAGAGGAGGAGTTTCTTTTTCCGGTGGATCATCAAGACTATTGGTCTTCCTAATTGTCAATCATTCTGTGATATGTGACTAGAGGTGTTTGGGAGATTCTTTCACACAAAAGCTCAGGTTGGTCTTCCCACTGATGCTTCAGTCGCCAAGTTTCTACTCCACAGGCAAAGTTTGGATTCTATTTGGAAAAATCCATTTCAAATCACTTCCAATAAAAATTGTCTACGTCTATTTTGTCTGAAATAGTGGAAAAAGTGCAAATCTTTTTGGAAAGTGAGTTTGTGTAAGTGACTTGTAAACAAAACCGCCCTTTCCACTTTTTGTAAAAATTCACATGCTCCTGAGTGGTGAACGCCGTTATAGCCGTTCACCACTCAAGAGCAAGTAGATTGTTGCACATGTGAATTCTTTAAAAAAGTGAAGATTACTGTTCTTTCCTAAATTTCGGGAAATTCCTCCAAAATACCTTTTGACTCTAGATTATAATTTATTTATACCTGGCCATAACTATTTGTGAAAATGCATTGTATGGACATTGTTATGTTTATAATAACATTTTGTGGCTCATTTTGTTTCAGTCAGAATATTACATTTATTTATTTGATATATTGTCATAATTCTTATGGCCCTAGGACACCAAAGTACACCTGAAATAAAGCTTTTTACATTTTACACCTGAAGTACTTTGTATTGCGCTGCGACTACCATGATGCGTCTGTCGCAGTAAAAGGTCAAAACAAAAGCCTCTCTAATACTTTCAATTCCCTCTTTCCAGCACCAAGTCTGTCTCTCCCTGTGGTTTCGTCCTCAAACGTGTGTTCTCCATTAGAGAAGCTGAGAGGCCGTCGCTCTTAAGCGTGACGGCCGCTTGATTTGGACAGGTCCAAATGGCTCTGGCCCCTGTGTCTCCGTCTGAGGCTCCTAATGCTTCGTTCGACTGCGGATGAACCCTTTCAGACTCGAGATACTTTCATTTCTGCAGTTTGTCGGAGAACTGTATCATCAATGTAATGACTCCACCTCTGATAATTCCTCAAATTTCTAAATTGGACACAATACCTTTTGTCACGTCTCCCTCACGGTTCCATACTGGTTTTTAGCTCTTTAAAGCAGTGATTTTCAACTGGAACAGGGTCTGGATCCATCATCAACATGGAACCCCCAGAGGTAATGTAGTTTATATAATGTAAAATACTGTGTATTTTAACAAAGTAATTATAGATTTATTAGAATTGAATCCATCATGCACAGCACCTCCCACTGCACAGGACTGTAGAGGAGCTGAGGAGCTCCTTCAGTGGAGACTGAGGCAGTGATATATCTTTGCCAAATGTGACTTGTAAATTAAGTTTATCTTATCTTACACACACACAAATATTTACAAATCTCTCATTTGTTTTAAGCCTCAGCTTGGGCCGTATTATGAACATTTTAAACTCTGGTACACATTTCAGGTCAGTGGGCAGTGACTTCCACAGTGACTTCTTTCAATATTACTTTTTTCTGGAGGAGAAGATCCACATTTTAGATACGCTCGCAGCTAACTCAAAATGATCACTCGACCCATCAGTTGAGAACCACTGCTCATATATCACTTCCATTTCTTTATTGTGGATGAGAAACCATCCCTTTCACAAAATTCAACATACAACAAATTAACTATCATTTTACCAACATGACCACACTGCTCTCAGCTTTATTCCCCTGTGGTCCTATTTATCTTCCGCCGTCCCATCGGTTGCTGACTCACAGAGAGATGAATGAAACCTTCTCCCGCTCTGTGTGGCCTTTAACAGCTCTGGGGCGTGGTTGCAGAAGACATTTTGATCATTGTGTGAAAATGTGTGCTTCTGACCTCGTCCAGGACTCACTTTCCTAAAAGGCTTCCCGTCTTGGGAATCTGTTGCATCTCATTAGCTTCAGCTTTAGCCGCGCCAGTGAATTACCTCTATGGATTTGTGTCTAATATGCGCCCACGACATCCTCCAACCTTTTCTATCCAGCCTCATAATCCCTTTATCTTGGCAACTATTCACGGGCATAAAGGCAAAAGCTGTTGAATAATGATGTGCTCTCCATTCACTCTATGCTAATCTTTATCTCAAGGTGACAGTGATGGAGGAATATTATGCACGCACACTTTCTCCGCACTAAATAAATATATTCTCCCATAATTATTTTAAAGATCCTTGTGTGATGCTTCTCAGGACAAAAAATTTGAATTATTAAAGATATTATCCCCTCTAGGGGTTATACTGGACTCTGACTTACATTTCAATAGCCACATCAAATCAGTAACATCAGCAGCTTTTTACCACCTAAAAACATTGCCAGGATCAAAAACATAGTGTCTAAAGCAGACTTATACCGTGTTCAGACCGGATCATGCGTTGCGTCGACTTTCGATGCAAAGTCAAAGGTGACGCGTGGCAGAGACGCAGGAGCGGAAAATCGACGCACGCTGGAGAAAAAAGTATTGCCTTGGGACGCTCGTGCAGCAACCAATCAGAGAGCCTCAAAGTGGTCACGGAGACATTAGCGGTCTGAGCGAGCAGACTGAACATACTCGTAAACAGCCAAAACAGGAGCTTCATTAGGACTAAACCAGGGTTGACAATGGGGGACATATGCGTTGTCATGCTCCCGTGACTGTATACAACGGCTTCGAGCGTGTTCGTCGATGCGGAAGTACCGTTTAATAATAAATTATACGTATGGTGCACCTCCGTGAACACATACTACTGTTATATAAAGTCTCAAAGGTGTCTGAACACAGAGACGCTGCATTATTGGAGAAGACTTTAAAACAGCTCTGCTTGTTACAAGTCTGTCCATGGCCTCGCACCAAAATATATTAGTGACATGTTAGTGCCATATGAACCAGCCCGGACTCTGAGGAGCACAGGGACTGGCCTCCTGTTAGCGGCCAGAGTCAGGACTAAACATGGGGAGGCTGCTTTTCAGATTCATGCTGCTAAAATCTGGAACAATCTTCCTGAAGATGTGAGACAGGCCTCCTCTCTGACAAAGTTTAAAACCAGGTTAAAAATAGTTCTGTTTAGCTGTGCATACAACTGAGGGATTCTATATTTTATATTTTTTATCTTTCTTTTTAATATACTGTGATTATTTATGATTTTAATACTATCTTATTTTGTTCAGCACTTTGAGTTGCCCTGTGTAGTGCTGTACAAATAAACTTGCCTTGCCTTGCCTTGAATATTCACATGTTTAACAAGTGTAACAGCAGGTTATTATGAATGCACGCAAGAATAGTCCATTAGCATTATTATGGCCTTGTTATCGTAAGCCGTTGGTGGTATCTAGTGAATGTGCATTTTAATAAGTCACTTTTAGGTGTAGTTAAAATAGTTTGACCATGGCAGCAGAAATGACAAATCCCCTCTTAAGCATTAGGTCAGATTTTGCTCTTACTCTCGCCCCTCCGTACGTATCGCTCCTCCGTACTTGTCCAAACTTTTGACTGTTTGTGACTTAGGCAGATCAATGAGGTATCATCTAAACTTCTGGAAGTACCAAGGACTAGATCCAAACACTGGGGAGACCGGTCCTTCTCAGTCGCCGGACCAGACTCTGGAACAAGCTGCCATGCCTGTCCTCACTGATTTTGGCCTTTTTAAATCAAGGCTCAAAATGTATTCATGGCTTTTAACACTTTTAACACCCTTTAGCACAGTGACACTTTTTAATGCTTTTTATCTGTATTATTGTTTGAAATCATAAATGTTTTAATGGATTTTATGTGATTTAATTGCACTTTGGTCGCATTGACTCAGGAAAGGCCATGCAAGGACTTTATGGGAAGTAATGCAACATTGGATTTTTCCATGAGAGGACATGAGATTGTGCAGGTAACGCGATCACATTTGAAGGTTGGCGGTAACAGGATCCTGCCACTGAAATCCAGATCACCACATTTGTGCTCAAAAGGCGACACTGTTGAGAAATGGTTTTGAAGTTTGCGTTTAATCATAAAAAGGCATCAGGATTTGCCAACATTGAAATATCTGTAATGTAGATCTGCAGAGATGAGATGACCATTTTATGTGTGATTTCTTAGGATAGTGTTCAAAATACACTTGGAGAAATGAAAACTGAAACCTGAAAAGATGTTGTGTAGTTTCAAAAGTTGTATTTGATAAAGAAAAAAAAAGCCAATTCTCTTGCTTTTTCATTTGCAGTGATCCGTTTTTTTTTAGAGCAAAACACAGAGTTTGCCTGACTTTTACATTATTATATTTTGCAAAAGAAATAAAGCAATCTAAATAATTGCAGTCTTTGAGATTTGCTGATTGCAGACACTAAAACTTTGATTGCAATTAATCATGCATCCCTACTGTGATGTATTTACAGTATATTTCACTGCCTCACCCTGATTCCATATGCACAAAACACTGCAAAATCTGTGTTTTTTTCCCCCCGTTCCACGCGACAAATCAGGAGTAACGTGAACAATGGCCCTCACTGATGCTCATGTATGCGCCCTTTGTCACGGACTACATTTCCAAGATTCAACAGTTCGCTCCCAGCATCACTGTTTACCAAGAAGGTCAGTGGCTGCGTGAGTGGCACTGCTGAAATTCTTACCATTGTCTGTCTGTTTTCGTCCATATTTGGATAACATGCCTGACTGGAGCGCTCGACTGTGAGAGGCGGCTCGGATGCACATTTACAGATGCGATTGTTGCTTTGCGTTTTATTAATCTGTGAGTGGCAGCGCTGTCACAAAGTTAATTGAATGTGAATCACAAACTGTCCCTATAGAGCTCTGCAAATGAAGTGTTCTTTCACGGGTTGCAGTTTTTTTGCTGTTTCCTTTTAGCATTTTTGAAACTTTCTTGTGTGAAGGAAATTGACTTGGTATTTGGCAAATGAATAGTCAAAGTCAAACAAGTTGTTCTGCTTCCTGGTGTTGATATTTGAGTTTGAACTGTTTTTGAAAGACTGGATATTGAAGCATTTACAGCTAGCCAAGAAACACACTGTACTTATTACTTATTTTTTACATTCTGTGTGCTCCCTGTGTGCTCTTACTACTGTCCTGTCGGTGCGCTGCAACATTGAAATTTCCCCACTGTGGGACAAATGAAGGATCTATCTTATCTTATCTATAAAATACTAAAGTTTGTATATAAATGTACATGTGATTTGAATTGAGCTCATGAGAATTATAGAAAAGTCAGAGTTGTAAGTGTTATTGATGGGATGGGTGTCACAGCAGCTGTTATGGTTTAGGGAGGAGCAGTTTTGATAAATGGGTGCAACTGTCACCAATTATAGCTTCCTGTTTTTGATGTGGAATGAGGAGTGCAAAGAGGAGTGAAAGCTGTTTTTAGACCAGACTGTGATGAGTCAGAGAACAGGTTTTGAGTGAGGAAGTGAAATTGCAAGATCATAGTTTATACAGCGTGATGTGCCTCGGACAGGACTCTCCAGAAAAAAGTCCTAATGATTTAAATTCACAGCAGCAGAAACAGCAGCAGCAGCACTGCCATTGCCCGGGGCCAGTCAGGGACCATAATAAACTAGTTTTAGTGCAGGAGAAGAAATGAGATGCAGGCTGTGGGCAACAGGAGAGTTTCGAGGAACAAAAGGCAAAATAATAAAAAAGCTGTTAGTTTTAACCGTAGTGCACCAACTTATTATCTACTTGGAGCTTTCCCCTGGACGCAGGCATAACACAAACGGAAGCACCATCTATGGAACAGAACCGTAAAGGACCTTGAGCTATACTTTATTGATCCTGGAGAGAAATCTGTCTTCTGCTCTTGACCCATACTTCAAGGCCACTATAGAACAACCTGTCAGGATGCAGGTTCAATACAGAGCTCCTGTTGATGCTCGGCTTGGGCAGGATTATCAGAGCTGGGGATTTTACCCATGGTGCATGCCTTGGGGGGTGAGGGACACTAAACCACCCGGAGGAAACCCTCTCAGACACAGGGAAAAATGAGAAAACTCCATAAAGAGACACGGGCCGACCCAAGATTGAACCGTCAACCTTCTCGCTGTGAGGTATAAGTGCTACCCAGACAACCTGCAAACACTTATTTTATTTGTGATTAGAGTTATATAGATCAATTTACCTACAGTATATCGATCAGTTTTAGCTTTGAGTGACTATTTAAGATTGTATAGTCTATAGTCTTCTACAAACGTTATGTGAATGTGCAAGTTAAAGTAATGTGCTTCAATTAGCCAGCAGGTTTTATAGTCTCTGCTCTATAATTTATTATTCGTATCCACAAAATGCTTGACCTTTAAGTAATGCATCTCCAAATTGATAGCATTTATTAGGCCTTAACGAGAGAACCCCAGAGGTCACTGTGTTTCAATTAGCTTTCCATTTTAACTGCAGTCGTTTCCGGATGACTTGTGCTTCTTTTCAAAAACATCTGCAGGCCATTTTAAAGTCTGGGGTCACGTGTGGCGTGGAAGACAGGATGCAGTGGCCCTGTCCCGCGGGCCGCTGTGATATTAACAGGGTGTACGTTTATGTTCACATAAACTCGCATACACATGTTTACATACTGGGGTCTCAGTGGAGCTTAGTGAAGGTCATGGGACAAATAATTAAGGAGAGGACAGAGGGCTATGGCGTTTATGGCTAACATCTGACTGAAACCAGACCCATCAAAGGGATATTTGAAATTATTTACATTTCGGTTTAAATCCTTCCTAATCTACCATTTTAGTAAATACCAACAATTTAAGTAACAAAATAAATGCTGGTTTGTGGTTGATAACTTGAATTACTCTCATAGAATATTAATTATTGCCTAAGAGTTGTTCGAGGTGTGGCACTGAGGGCTTTGTGATCCTCTGCTTCTGGTTTTGTGTGTGGAGAATACTGTAGATAAACTATATTGACATTGACCTGATAACAAAGAGAGATTTGACGGAGAAATAGACCATACAAAAGTGAAATCTTATCTCTATCTGTTTAGTTGATTTGTTGCTTTCTGAATCTTGTGACTTTCTCGTTTCTTGTTAGCCTTCATCCATGCCTCATTGTTTCTTCCACATTTCTAAATAACTCAATATATTCCGAATATCCTCATTGAGAAGCTTAGTTGTCACCCTGCTCCAATGGGAAATCAATACTTTGTAATCCTATCGGCTACATCACCGGTCTACGTACAGATGAAGACGTTTGTAAATGGAGAAAGCTGCAGCAAACAAAGTGACCTGCTAAATTATGTGCTCATACTTTCCCCATTTAGAAAAAGAACAGATCAATTTGTCAAACCAGAACCATTAACCCGGACCGCCGATGGGGTTACCGTAGCAACGGGCATAATGTTTCTTGAGCAGCAGCACCTGTTTCTGAGCCTGTGGTGCGTGTGCTTACAGATGTGTACGTTAGTGTCTTTACATGTGATTAATATGACACAGTGGACGATGCCGCCGCGGTGTTGATGATGTTTATTGGTTTGTTGTGAGTCTGCTGCCGTCTAAAGGGACTTCTCCTCCATCACTGTCTCCTCGGGGATATCTCTGTATCAGTGCACTTCCTGTCTCTAGATCTCTATTTAATAACTTCATGACCCCTGTTGTCCTTCTGCTCTGGAGAACTGATACATTAGAAACATTTTAACTACTTTCTTCTGGGTGTAACTTTTTCATGGTCTTTAATTATGTTCAATTATTCATGTACTGAGTGCCTCATAGTTATAATAAGCTAGAAGTCTACTTTTAGTCTAATAATTAAACGCATATTAGCGTGTGGGTGATATGTTGTTGCTTCCATTAAGTTAAAACTCAGATTAAACTATTTTGTGTTTATTGCCTGCTACAATAAATACTTGATCAACTTAATCTGATCTTATGGATAAAACAGTATATTTTGGGCCCACCCACCTAAAATATTAAATGATCATATTTAATATCTAATGTTATAATTTTTTTTTAGCTATAAGCATTTGCAAACGATAGTTTTGCAGAAAATGTGATGTTTTAGCTTTACGATAATGATTCTGCAGATGATAATTCTCACTTTCTGAGTCCTACTTAGCACCATACCATCTTGTTGCTAACACAGCTATAATATTTTCAATAATAATCTACTATTGTCTCATTCCATCTTGATTCTTCCCTTCTTCCCTCTCTGGCAACAGTCTCTCACCCCAGTCCCATCCCCCTCCCCTCTGAAAGCCCCGCGGTCAGGACACAAGATGGTCAGTGGTGTGTGTGCACATTGAGCCTGGATCCATGTCCTTTGTTTTTCTTGCCTTTATAGAGACATATTGGTCCAATAAAGAAGGGCAAATTTTTCCTTTAAAGTTCCACAAAAAGACCAAAGAAACATGTTTTTGTTCTTGTTCCATCAGCTGTAGCCTGGAGGTGGATTTGAATGGCTGTATTGATTGGTCATGTTGCACAAGGGTCGTGTGATATTATGGGCCGAGTATTGACCCCCACTTTCTATAAATGTATGCAGCCAACAACACAAGGTCATTCATGCATTAAACTTCCAAATCAGATACGTATTGGTGGGATATTTTAATATATTTACATTACATTCAGACACTTGCTTCTATCATTTATATTCTAGAAACTAGATATCATGATTCAGATTTTTCCTGTATTTATTCAATCATGGGTGTTTTTTACTCATAAATATGGATTCTTGGGGTGGGTTTGCCTCCCCACATATCAAATATGTCGTGCTTGTCTTAAAGATGGAGTACCTACTTATATTTATTGTGAGCAAATCAGACTACAACATGCTATCTTCATCCTAATATCATGTTATCTTTTGGGATTTTGTAAGAAGTGAGTTACTGTCTGGCCCGTTGGGCTGTGAGCTGATTGGAAAAAAAATAATACTTAAAGATGCAGTAAATTATTTATCCAGATGCAATTTTTAAAATACTCTGGGGAAACGACCCTAAACCCCAAAAGTAGTCAAGTTATCATGTGTTTTCAAATAGGAATGGACATGGCCAGGTGCCTGTAGACTGATGGGATGTATTCATCCTCTTCAAACCAATGGGAGAGCTCGGAACTTGTTGGATTTGTTTTGAAAGCCGTATGAATAAAGATAATAATAATAGTAATGCAATTATATAGCACAGGATACATTCATTCCATGTATTCCTGTGTCTGAGTACGCATGAACATTTACAAAAATAAGTAAATGAATTGACTCTACAACCTGAATGTAAATGTATATTATAAGTGTCAAAATAATATTAGACAATGTCCAATCTTACCTGGACGAAACGACAGTTTGGCACTTTACAGACGCAACCGCGATCATTGCACCTTTCAGATGTTCCCAGATGTCTCCCATCACAGTACTAACCAGGCCTGGCCTCACTTAGCTGCTGAGATCAGGCTTTCACATGCTAGCGGTCTCTACCTAATATTTGGGGCATTTAAAATAGTTCTGTTGTCATGGATACAAAGTGGCAGAAAGAAAACTTCGAAAAAATCGAAACTTTCTCAAAGACGGTTCACCTTCGAAATGTTTTGACCCTCAATGATTTCTGGACCTCCGAGTTTTGTGTTCTTTCTTTGTTGCTTTGATTCCCTTCCCTTTTAAGAAGCCACTCATTTCATTTGTGTGGATTGGGCACAGAGGACGCTGCAGATGGCTCCCAAACTCTAAGTCTTTTGGATCCTAATAAATGCTGTATGTTTATATTTGTCATATTGACAGTCTCTAAAGGTCCCGCCTCCACACACCACCTGTGGACAAACACTGAGTTAAAATGGAACAATCCTGCTGTTCTTTTTATGTTATTCATAATTTTATGTTATTTTCCATGAAACACAAGACACACGCCTCAGTCTCTGTCTTTAGTCCAAGGCTTCTGCGTTCTTTCATTTGAAGGCATTAAAGTTGAACGGCAGCTCGGTTGTAGTCCTTGGCTTGTGTTCCTGCTGCACATACCAGCCACCGGCAAGGATTTTCTCAAAGTTATGTAGTGCTTTGGCAAAAGTGAGGAATGCAAGTGCCCTCCTGAGAATTTCAAACGCTTCCCCTCACATACTTCACTTATAGACAGTTACCTCTAGTCTGGTCACAATACAAAAAAAACTAACTCCATTGAAATATTAAGAAACCCCCTCATTACCAATGTTGACCCCACAGTGCTGCTCACTAACTATGAATGTATGTATTTGGACATTGACATTAAATATACATTTCCAACATTAATTTATTTTTAATCAGCTTTAGTTCAAAATCTGCTAAAAAAAAATGTTTTCTAACAATATTTTATTCACTTTTAAGCATTCATTGACTACAATGACTAAGATTGCAAAATATATTTGTTGAAAAAGGTTGCATTCATAGTCAGTTTAAGTCCTCATGTGCACTTGTTTGTTTCCAATCTCCACAAATTACACATTTTTTATCAACTCAAACCAGAATTGGTCCAGTTAAAGTGACCCAGACCAACAAGTGTGAGCTCCGCCTTGGCTCCGAGGCTCTGGAGTGACTAAACTGCTCGCCTTTTGCAGTGCACTTGTTATGGGTCAGGTTTTGACAAGCATTCTTTGTTGGTAATTATTTCTGTTAATTTCTCATTACGCACAATTGGATGTTGTGCTCTGTGTGGATGTTGTTTCTCCACCATAAATAGATGTGATGGTAAAAAGAGGAGGTTGCTATGGTGACAAAGCGCTGTGGCAGCCGGTAATTATTCCAGTTTAAGTGCCAAAAGAGACACTGGCTCTCAGACGGGCGCGGCCACGTGGCTCAGTGACTGATAGAGAGACCTGGACGCAAGCAGTTTGAGTATGTTCGGAAATGAACCGTACGTACTGTGCCTCAAGATGAAGACTCGCTCACTGCTCTTGGGTCCCATCACCAGAGCTGCAATATTGTTAGTTTTTAGATCTGTTAATATGCCATAATGGAGGCTGGAGACACAATCTTATTACAAAATCTATTAATGACCCACAGTAGATCTTAGAACAGTGGTTTTCCAACTTTTCAAATGACTTTCTAGAGAGTCACAAGTTTAATTTCAGTCATACAAGTACAATTAAATTCTGTCAGACTGTACAATGAGAACTGTACAACAAGAAATAATGAGTCTGTGTACGTGCCACTCACCTGTTCTGATAATAGTTCACTAGTCACTTTACCGGTTGTTATTATTATTAATGTTACATTACTACATATCCATCTGATATTTCTGTCATTCACTAGTCACATTGTGACTTTTCCTATATTTGCAACTTGCACAATTCCATAACGTTTTTAAAGAGAAGAAGAGCCTAATATTAACTTCTGTAAACCTTCAGTGGTACATAAATTCAACTTCCAAATCTTAAAAAGAAATGTAACTTAATTATTGATTTAGAAAAGTCAAAAGAGTAAAAAACTCTTCTATTCCTTCGTGTTCGCATAATTTGTGTAGTTCTTCAAATAGCCAGCAGATGGCGAACGTTTCAATTATTGTAGTGCATCGTAAGCACAAGACTGGTGGTTTAACCTTAACCCTGTGTTCCTTGAGGTAGAAACTCTTCCAGGAAGTAAATTAAATGTATAAGTTCAACTGGCGTTTGCTGTGTCCTTATATAAAGTAACATCAGAGATCAGCTTTGTTATCTAAATAAACACATATGTGATGTTTTGAGGAATCTGCCCTTTCTCTTGCACATTTTCATCATGTCGTTTTAAAAATACCAAGTCACCTCCCACCTGTGCCACCACGAGAGATCATATTCAGCTCAGCTCCGTGTGCCGTCCCCACAGACTTCTAATCCCACCTTCTCATTTTTATCTGCTCTCTTCCAGGCGAGGCCGACCCCACTAATCATCCACTGAGGTGTCAAGGTAAGGCAATGTCCTCTTCCCACGGAGCATAGCAACACCGGTGTTTTATATCCGGGCAGGGAAGCACAAACTGGAGTCCAGGAATTCCACTGTGCCCTTTGAAGAAGAGGAAGTTGAATTTGGCTCAAGGTGCTTGTGAAACTTGAGGACTCCTGCACTCCCCACTCTCCCCAGCCACATTAGCTTAGACCAGCGTTGAGGCACTCACGAGGTTTTCCACTCATTTTGGAGGAAAGACACTTCAGCTGTGTACAAACATGGCTCCCAGAACGGCTTGTTAGAATAGACAAGGGAAGAGATCATGTTATCATTCACACTATTATGGATCAATATGAAAACTACTTGCACCAATATTATATGCAACCTTTCAATATTCTATTATTATTGATATTTATATGATCAGAAAAATAAGTAGCTGTCTAGACTGGATAGCATTCAGTTACAGAAAAAATGAATATTTAATGAATATGATATGATTTTACGCCTTCTCCTATCTGCTTTTGTAAATATAAAACTATTAAATTACCCCAAAAAGGCATATTATTTTGTACAACCCAGAGTGAACTGGGTAAATTGTTTATGGCAAAATTATATCAAAGTTACAGGGCAATACTTTTTGACCATTACATTGAAGTTTGTAAACCAAGTGTACCCAACCCATATGATTAGAGGCAGAGCAGTGGTTGTTTTCTGTTTTGCAAAGATCCAAATTCCCTGAACACAGAACTAGATGTGCGTAAAGGTTTTAGTTGGATATCTCGAGAAACACTGCTGCTCTGTGTATCACTGTGGATAAAAGTAGATCTCGTCAGGGTAGAAGGTTGTATCCTGAAAGAGTGAAAAGTTTGCTGTTGAAGCAGGACGTGAGGGGAGTGATGATGCTGCAGCAGACTCCGCACTGCGCCTCTGCTTGCTCCACACTGCCACCTGCTGGACAAACACACTCACAGGTTTAGGAACAGATAGCAACTGTATCTATTCCTTATAACTTTATCTGTTAAATACATTTTCTTTGGGAAGTTTTTGATGAATTTACATTGGTTGCTATTTTAAGGGCCAGAATATTTAGGTTTATAAATGGGGTGACAGTGGCAGTTGGTAGAGCATTGGTCTTCAGGCCTGAAGGTCGTGGGTTCAATTCCCACCTTCTCCACCGACTCCCACTGATGACTGCTGTCGTTGTGTCCTTGGGCAAGACACTTAACCCCACTTTGCCCAAAAGCCCCCACTGAAAGATCAAGGCTCTTCTCACACTCAGAGAGCAGCCGTCCTCCTGTGGACTCACCCCCTGCAGAGGGTCAGTGAGGGGCTGGTGCTATGAGACTTGGGTGGCATCTCTGATTGCCACCCCCCTGACCCAGAAATGGATTAAAGGGTAGAAAATGGATGGATGGGTTTATAAATTGTGGGACAAAACATGCTATGAATTGAGATGGTAAACATTTTGGCCTAAACTGAGTAACCGAGATAAAATATTATCCTGCTGTAAATGAAGCCAGGTGAAACTGTATTTATATGAAGGCAGTTGTTTGACTACACTTATTAACATATTATTTGTATTTTTTATGACCTTTGAATATCCCAAAATCTCTACAGCAGTCATCTCCAGGGGCCCCAAAGCAGAGTAGAAAATCAAGCAAACATAGGAAATACAACAAAAACGCCTAAAGACACTTGTTGATCTTGTTCACTTTAGAAAAATTAAGATTTAAGTAACTTGTAGATACATGTTTACTTGTTTGGTAGTTTTACATCCACAAAAAAATCAATTTTGCCCCAAGGGATTTTGGCAAAGTGACATTGGTCCATAGAATAAAGCCTAGTCATTATGTTAATTTTCTTGCTTTTAAAGAATAATAATGTAATTGTATATTTTACCCATAACTTTTGGAAATTTGCACTTCTTTTATGTACTAAATAAGACGTGTATGTGTTCCTTTGTGTTCAGCCCTTGCTTTTCCATGTGCTGCTGCTCGGTGTGATGGCTCCGGTGCTCAGTGGGGTGTGGTGGGGGCCTGAGGCGGGAGTCCTGGGCTCTGGGGCAGTGGTGGCCAGTGGTGTGGGCGTGCTGGTGGGCAGTGAGCAGATCGTCCTGGTCTGTGCCCTGAGTGCCCTGACAGTCCTTCTGCTCGTGTCTGTGCTGCTGCTGCTCTGTGCCAGCTGCCAGGGGTGAGATACACACTCACACATACATACACATACACACACACACACACACACACACACACTGTACATTGCATAAGCATAAGTAGCGGGATCATTGTTTACTGACCGCTGTTCTCAACATTACATAACATGTTTTTCAATACAATGCACATTTACTACTACATGTGTAAAACATCTTAAATAAATTATTTCGAAAACAGATAAAAATATTAGAAAATAATCCCACTTGCAATCCCCTGATTTTATTGCCAATGTTTTTGTCAGTGCATGCATTCTTCTATGATCTGATAAATCCATGTGCAAAGAATTATAATCACAGATATGGGATGAAATATACTTTTAGACATAGATTATTTTACACAAAAAAAGCATTCTGATCATTATGTGTCGGCCTGTAATTCCTTAAACTACCACCAGAGGGAGAAGTTGAATTTATTGTGCCTTTTATTTTATTTCTTCAAATTCGAAATTACTGCAACAAAACTTATTTATGGTTTATGATTTTGTTTAAAAATACACAAACCTGCTCTGAGCATCATGTAATGTGGTTGAAATGACGTCATAGCATTACAGAAGTGAGACGGAAGAGGCAAAGTTACTGGTTTGTTCCAGAAGTATCTAATATTAGCTAAATTATTCTAAATACAACTCCTGGAATATTTTTCATAAGAAAGGATGTTGCAAAATGGTTAACAGTTTAAAAAAGTAGTGCACAATTCATTCACAGGGAAACTCAAAGTATTTCACAAAATATGAGAGGAAGTTAAAAAAAAACACACAGGTGAAAAAATAAATATTCAATATAGAGTTTATGAGTTAATCTTAAAAGAAAATACACAAATGTCCCGTTGTATTACCCTGAGTGCAGTGCGTGCTGAACGAACCGTGCGGATCTCCGGTAAACATCGCATTCATGAACTAAAATCATTATTGTGTGTAAATGTCAACAGTTAAAATGACTTCCACACGACGTCATTGTGAATAACCACTATTGTGGCCGAATACCTGAGAAGCGCAGGAGGAAATATGGGTCTGCGACAGTGGCCATGAGTCATTCTCCCAACCACAAGCCTGAAAACAATGCACAAGAATTTTTACTACTCTCATTCAGCAATTGGGAAAAATAGACTTTAAATGAACTTAAAAACTAACAGCGACAAAGTTGACATTTTGCCGTTTCTACATGTGAACTGATTTAAGATCCAGGTTAAATCAGTTCTGTTTAGCTGTGCAAACAACTGAAGGATTGTATCTTCACTCTTTTGAATATACTTTTTTTGAGAACTTCAAGTTTCGTTGTGTAGGAACTGTGCGATACAAATAAACTTACCTTGCCTTAAAAGTACCAGTACAGTTCACTTGTCGTATCAAATGTAGACATTTTTCACTATACATATTTAACTGGAATTTATGAACACAGTATCTCTGTTTGTCAGTATTCTCCCAATAAGATACAATTACATGATAATAAGCATCCTAAAAAACTGTTTCTTTAAAATGTGAGATCGGTAACCCTTCAGAAGTCACACTAGATATGCCTCAGATCATTTGTAACATTTGCTTCTATACATTTGAAATTGTATGGAAATTGTAGGGTTGTATCTGTTTTTAGTGTGTGCTTCTCTAATCTCGTTGGATTTGTCTTTTTATTTAGGCAGAAGACATCACACACTTGCCATCCTGTGGGGGACCAAGAGAACCTGGTCAATGGAGCGGTCAGTGATCTTCTATCCAATCCAATCCAATTTATTTACATAGCACATTTCATAAACAGTTTCCAAAGTGCTGCACAATAAAAGAAAAATCCATAATCCATAAAAATCCAAAAGAAAAATCCATAATAACAGAAAAACAGTAGAACCATTAAAAATCAAATAGTAAAAAACGTGTGTGAATAAATGTATACATATAAAAATAACAAAATAAAATACAATAAAAAGACCATACTATTCACATAATGTTTTAACCGATATAAACTCATTACCTCGGTGATACTTCTGTTTTAGTTCTTACTATATTTCCAAACATTTTTCTAATGACTTTGTGTCTTGACTTAAACTTTATTCACGATGCCTAATCCCAAACACTGTATTTACTGCACACTGGCCTTTTTCAATGAAGGAATGCTTTAATAGTTCAGTTATAAGACAGATAAATCTCTAGTATCAATCATTATCTGAGATCCTCGTTCTGTCTTCGCCGTCGCTGTGTCCTCTTCAGCCACTGATGGATTTGTTCCTTCTAACCTTTTCGCACCGGGCCGATTCAAAGGTGATGGGACAGCGGAACTAGCCCATTCTAAAGACGGACAGTGCCAGAGGTTGACAGCTTAAATGGAGGTTTTGTCTTTGTGGATGAGGAGATTGACCCCTAATGTACATTCCACTACGCTCTATGTTCATGTAAAAACAATGAAACGACAAAAAGCCAAAAGCATAAAGCGTGACATAATATCTGGTGTAAGGAGTTATATTCATCAGATGTTTTTCTTTGCTCAATCTCACTTTAAAAAGGTTATAAAATAGTTAAAAGATTACATCATTGATTATAAAAGACATGAGCAAAAGTGGCCACAAGGTGGAGTTGTGGAGCTGGAGTGGCGCAGGAAGAATCGTCTCAGGAAAAAACAACAGTCCAGTCTTGAACAAAGGGTCTTTAACTCGATTATCGCTTCTGTACGGGGAACTGTCAATCTCCTTTGGATAATCATTTAGATAAACTAACGATTAGGTAAGATTTACATTAAAACTACACAATGGACTGTTCAAAGTTCACATATTTACTGCTGCTCGACATATGACCATGTAAAGTAGGGGTCACACTCATTTTGATTGGGGCAGAACAAAAAAAGCTATTTCAGGGCCAAATGAATAACAGTGGTTCTCTTTTTTTAGTATTTTTGCATAATAAAGGTTTGGACAAAGTACTTTTATTTGATACAAGTTTGAATAATCTTTGCTTGTAGATTTTTCTAATGAAAATACAGTAAGTGTATTGTTTGAATTGAACCAAAACTGGATCAAATATAAGAAAGACAAACAGGCCAAAGATTTCTCTTTTATGTTTAACTATTTAAATTCTAATTGGGTGTTGGTTTTATGTTTAAAAACATTGTTGTCCTGAGAAAATATACTTTAAATTGAGGTAGTGATAGTCGCCCAATAACACCAATACTATTAAAAAATCATGAAAATGAAAATGTTGCAAAACAGGAGAATGACAAAGAAAATAAGGAAGATGAAAATAATATAGGACAAAAATGAGTAAAAAAACAAAATTCAGGGGCCACTTCTAATTTGATGTTAGATTTTATTTTATTTGAATTAGTACAACTATTGTTCACTTATCTTCTGCTGTGTGCTCCTCTCTCTTCCTGTTCTATAACTTGTGATGCAACACTGAAATTTCCCCACTGTGGGACAAATAAAAGATCTTTTAATCTGTTAAAAATGGTCTCGCAGGCTGGATTTGGCCCACGGACCTGAGTTTGACATGCCTGATGTAATGAAAGCCATAATATATAAGATCACATTATTTAACAAGTCTAACAATAAGTCCATAGAAACAAACTCATCATAAGAGTGACTGTGTGTTTCTGGAGAACTTGTACAAAAGATAAAATTGCACAGACAGAGTTAAGTGAAACATGCATGACACATCCAAATATAATGAGCAGCATTTAATAGCCAATTTCAGAGGAAGGAACAACAGTGAAAATGGTGTGAGAATTCCTCGGACAAGCGTCGTTCTGGTTGTGTGTTGCAGGTGTCAGAGCGGGACACTATCAGCCAATCAGCCGACAGTCCAGCTACAGACTTGGGGGTCAGCAGCTCACACAATGGACCTCTAACAAGCGGTACAAGTGAGTGCACCGAGCAGCTATGTTGATAAGGCTGCAAGGATTTGGAGATGTTTTTGCCTGTGTAGAAAATAATATTCATATAAATTTGGAATAACATTGTATGACCTTTGACAGCCGGCTAGATTTGTGCAAGACAAAGTATTGGAAAGAAAAGTCTAGGTGTTAAAGTTACCACAGAAACATTTGCAATGTTCCCAAAGCTTGCACTGTAGCTGTGTCTTACCCTGATGTGTGTAAAATAGCCACATGAAAATAAAATAAACTAAATTAATCTATTTTGACAATGCTGCAACTTCTGAATGTCCACTGAATGTCACTTTAATTATCTTCTTATTATCCTGCAAGATAGATAGATAGATAGATGGATACTTTATTGATTCCCGTAGGAGAAATTCAGGTGTCTAGTAGCAGCAAAAATAAAATAAAATTGATCATTCTAAAAAGCTAACAATAGTGATAATCAGCAAAAGCCCTTCAGGTCACAGCAGCAGAGATGGAATAGACTCTGGGAGTATGGGTTTACATAGGTATACATAGGTATGGGTGTAGGAATGGGTGTAGACAGGTATACATAGGTATGGGTGTAGGAATGGGTGTAGACAGGTATACATAGGTATGGGTGTAGATGTGTAGATAGAACTATAAATAGATGGACATATATCGATAAATTGATATTGAAGCTTTTACAGCTAGCTAAGAACCATAGACGCTTCTCAAATTGTATATTTTGTGTGCTCCATGTGTGCTCTTACTAGCACGTGCGCTGCAACATTGAACTTTCCCACTGTGTTACGAACACAGGATCTCATTCTTAAAACAACACCACATTTCTTTCTTCACCAGTTCTGACGGACACGCAGGATCTCAGCCCCCAGCCTTCGGAGGAGCTTCTCTCCAGCCAATCCGAGCTCAGGTCCTCCAAGTGTCCGCAGGACCGGGAGCTGCCCAGTATCCCCCCCACCAGCACCATGATGGGGGCTCCAGGCTCCGGGGACAGCACCTATGAGGTCAGCCGGCACGCCAGCATCAGCATATCTGCACCGCTCTGGGTTTAAGTGCCTCATTTTCCTCTGGAGCTGTGGAGGAATTGGTTGGAAAATCAATTTGTTTTTGTATCAGCGAGAATACATGGAAGCTGTTTTACACATTTTAGTGAGTTGCTCCAGCTGTCAACTTCCATTTAGAAGATGCTATTTGTGACCCCTTTACGCATCTAACTTTGTGTATCTAAACGTCTGAAATAACATACATTTTTGGAGATTGTTATTTTAGAAAGATGAGTGTTGCACAATCCCTCTGCAGACTTGGGATCCAATGTTGTCTTGTTGTAAAGCTGGGGTAACTAACTTTCAAATCACAACAAATGGAACTGTGTATTAACATCCATCCAACAAGTTCCTCGCGCTCAAAACTGTTTATTCTATCCCTAGTTTTCACATACATGCACTTTTATATCTTGGTCTCATTTAGTTTCTGAGGTGACATCTCATGACACATCTTTTGATCCACAGACAATAAGTAAGAAGGCACTTCCTGTTGAAATGCACTAAATATGTTATTTATAACAAAAAGCAAGGTACTCCAGCTGTAAAGTAGTAACACTGTAACTAATAGCAGTAGTTCAGCCGAGATATTTGGATTTCATACTTTAATGATATCTTCTTGTAATAACTTCTACTTGGTCATTGTAGATTACTATGGATTGTCAATGATCATTTCTCATCTCACTTTCAGGTCGTCAAGGAGATGGTCCCTGCATCCAGAGACGTCAGTGTGGAGGACTCGCTTTACGAAACGGTCAAAGAACTCAAAGAACCTCCGCTTCAGCTGGGACTCACCAACGGTACGGCTCATTTGACCAGGGACGAGGCTCCGCAACCCTCTCCCCCTGCCAGCCTGCTCCTCAACGGACACGCCAGCCCCTGCACGCCAGAGCGGGGGCCCCTGTGCACGGGGGTGGAGTATGCCTCTGTGGACCTGAGGAAGAAGAGCCGCCACAGCGCAGACATGGAGGCCAAGAGGCGCTCTGAGCAGCATGTGACCCCTCCTGTCCGAAAAGAAGAGGAGGATCTGCCCCCGCCAGTCCCAGAGAAGGTCCTGGATGAGAACGATAACCAGCCGCTAGTGGTCAACGGGCAACACAATGGAGAGGTGAGACCATGTATGCACGGTCACACATGTAGCTGATGGATGAGACACCAAGAGGCCAAGTATATTTGAAGGTTTTCTTTAGTGAATAGGGGACACGATTATGTTTGTTCTCACAATAAGCAGACAGGATCATAAGAGTACATACAGAAATTATTAAAATATACCTGCATAACTACAGATCACCATCACCGTGGCGTGTTGGGCTATTCATTCAATGGACCCTGAATGGCCCCCTGACTGATTCAAAATATAACACATATTTTCTACATTTTATGAATAATATTAATAGCAACGGTATATGAAATGTTTTCATCTATGGATATACATATATGGATCTGAAATACCAAATAAAAATGCTAGGGTTGGCTTCTCCACAAATCACGCTTCTTGAATGGGTGGTGTCTCCTGATAAGTGACTGATACCGTAATGCTGAACATTCTTGAATATTATAACTTCAGAAATCCAGGCATTGAAACGAGAACTAACATTGTTCAGCTTTTCCAGAAACAGGTGTTTTGGCATTGCAACCATGACAACCTCATGAATAAATAAAAAGCCTTAATATATTTATTTCTGGTACATACTAAATTAAACACAAAGATCTTTCTCAAAATGTCAAAATGTTTAATAAACTCCTCAATTGCAAAAAAAAAATAAAACAAAAAAAAATTCACGATGCAAGCCCCACAAATGCATATATTGTTTTTTACTAATGCCATATTCATTAGTAAAACCCATATCCTTACCTAGAATGAATATTATTGTGTTTGAAAATATTGAAGGAAAACAAAGAGTAAACAAAGCTTTTTGCAGCGTGGCAGTGAAGAATGGCTGTAAAGGCTGGAGTCGTCGCCCTGAGAGCTTCTTTAATGGCTGTGCCCAGGTTGATCTGTCCAGTTGTCTTTTAGTGTTCTCAGTAATCATGTTAGGATGGATTGTGTACAGCTCTAATGTGACTTACCGCTGCTGTTATTGATATCTGTGTTGTGGTGAGCATCCACTGTGTTAGAAAGGGTTTTAAAATGTGATGAAGTGGGGAAAAAATACATCTGCTTTAAGAAATGTGTGTGGAGGTGTGCAAAATATTGATTATATTTTAGTAAGTAAAGTAATATTAATTTATAAAGCACTTTTCAAAGACAAGATGGAGTCTCTGTTAATTATCTCCACTCACTTTGGTTTAAACCAGTAATGTAGCCACAGCTGCCCTGTGGCACACCGGAGTCTGGGCTATGTGTTCAAGTGTCATGCCTAAGGACACAACATTAAAATCTCATAATATCATGCTCTACTGCAATTAGGCTAGGTTATATGTTGTAATCTCAATATTTGGAGTAAACATGGTGCATATAATTGTATTACCTTTTGCCATTAGTGTTTTAATGATCAAATATTTTAATGAATTCCTGATCACTTTCCTTTCCTGTGTCGACTTGTTTCAAAAGTACAGTTGCGGTTGAGTTGAGTTAGCATACTTTAGCTCTTGGCATCATAATCTATTACAATAGTAGCAACCTTTCTTCTCACTCTAAATAAAGCTGGACTATAAGTCACTGGTCGCTGTAAAACTCTGCTGGACAGAAACACAGGCTGACATGTCTTCCACACATTAGTGCTGTGGAGCTTCAGCAAAGACTGACAGTTCTTGGAGGGTACAATTTGGAGAGTAAGAGGAGCTAGTGTGGGAGTGAAGAGGGGAATGACAATAGGTCTGGATTGAAGATAGAGCCGGGTTAATAGATGGAGCAGATAGAAGGCTGGATGCTACAAGGGGAAGACACCAAAGACATAGCTATCATTATCAGCTTTTTGATGTAAAAAGTTTTCAAAGTTACTCAACAAATGGCAATGCAGCACTTTACTAAATAGATTTCAGCGTCATTTCCGGAGTCATCTTCTCAGACTGGCTGCAGGTGCAATACTAACAAAACAGAGCTGAAAGAGAAACACGGAGGGGGTTGCCAAAAGAACCACCACACCTATTTGCATTCTTTTCATACGAGAAAGAAAAAATAATTCAAGTGCCAAACAGTGTGAGCTACAACACTTTCTTTAATAAAACAAGTATTTCTTAAAGTTCAAAAGAAACATTGAAATTGACTTAAGATAGTCAACAAGAGATTTTCCAACATCGACAAGAGTATCATCACAATGAAGTGATAAATGTGAGCGCTTTGTGATCCTGGTCTGTGAAAGGCGCTATACAAATAAACTTTACTTACTTACTTAATTACAATTGATCTGAATTCTATCATCAATATCTGTTTGTGAGTTCTAAGTTGGCTTACTTAAAAGGGGTGTATTTATGAGTAAAACCAAAAGAGTACCTGATTGGATACCATATATTCATTCTAGTTTATTTAAGCCATATTTGATTTATTTTAAGTTCATTTTTCCACACATGCCCCTACAAATCAGGACGGAGAGTTGTTTCAAAGTGCATGATATAGGACCATTTAAAATACATCTCCAGAGCCCCATTACACCCCATAGCAGAGTCTTTGTTCACATAAAAAACTATGTTATTCTTTAAATCCATTGTCCACTCTTTCTCTTCCTGCTTTGTCGTTTCTTCCTTTGTTCTCTCGTTCTGCCACTTTCTTCATCCCCTCTCATCCCTTTTCCCCTTTGTCTCCGCCGCTGAAGCCAATTAGTTAATCAGTACCGTTCATTTGAGCAGCCGGTGACTCTGGCCTTATCTGACCTGCAGACTATGATGAAATTCCCTAATTTACCTTTCCCCAATGCTGCACACGGCTCCATACAAACAATATTATACACACCAAAACAAATGGACACTCATATAAAGCAGGCTTGGTGGTACGCCGAGTCAGCAGTAATTCTGTTTTCTGGCATTTTTGTCCATCCCCCATGTATTCAGACCTGCATGTTTACATATATCTTTACATATAGGCTCCCCCAGGCTGATTTAAGGTTAACTCCGAATGCCGGAGCACTCCCCGCAGTTTACGCCCGTGGTACGACCAGGAGTCGTGGGGTGATTTGTCTTGTCAAAACTAGCCACGTGTATATGTTTTAATGTGTGTGTGTGCACGTGTGTGTGTGTGAGAGGGGAGAGAGAGGAGACCAGCTGGCCACCATCACCATGACAGTTAGTCTGGGTCCATGATGGATGATATAAGCTATGGTAACTCTCTTTTCGGCCTCATCCGTACCAGCGCTCTCCTTCTATGTAAATCTTGTAATTCCCTTAGGTGCAGGCTCTCTAAATGTTTCTCATGAAGACAAAGAACTGTTGTTTTTTTCCCTATACATACATGCAAGGTTTTTTTTTTTCTTCTCTGACCTTTTTGTCCCACGTGAGAAGAGTAAGCAAAAATTGTATTAAGTAGAGGATTGTAATGCCCGGGAAGTCAAACACAAAACAAAGAAGGCTGCCAATATATAATGAAATCATGTGGGATAGTCCCTTTAGTCCGGTCTTGGCTTTTCCCGTTTATTGTAGTTGTTGTAGTTAAACTGGCCACAGCAAACAATAGAAACTGTCACATTCAGGCGGCAACTGAAAATGTTGCTTTTACACTACGCCACATTCACCGAGGAGGTTCTGCTGTTTGCTTGGCTCTGTCTTTATGTTGTTGTTGTTATTTTCATGCAGATTACAAGTTACACCTGTGGTTAGAAGAACTGACTCCATTTAAGAATTAAGGTTTTTCAGTTATACATGTAATTATAGTTTTCTTTCAGACTAACATACATTCCAAATACTTCACCTTTAAAGTCCATGCCACATCATCAGGTATTGAAAAGATGTATTAAAACCAGTAAATAAAACCTGTATTCTTTTTCACATTTCCTTGCACCATACTGGTTTGCATATAAGGCTGTAAATGATATTCAGGATTTATTTTGCAATAAATCCTGAGTTAAAGTATACAACAAATGAAATTCATATTATATGTCACATTTGCTTCACCGTCACCCACCTCTGTTGTATTTTCATCTCGGCACATATAGATTTGCCATTCTGTCGTAAACGAGGTAACACTTGTTTGCAATCATGTGACGGCATGTGTCGCCTGTGGGCTTCTCTAATGTGCCGTGCAGGAAATGAATTTGACCTCGCCAGTGGGCTGCTGGGAAATCCACAGGGAACAGATCCAGGTACGGGCGCAGATATCCCACATGTCAGCACACTTCTGCTACGTGCCACATTTAAATACTATAAACAGGACTTACCCAGTACATGTTTGACGAAGAGACATGTTTTACACCACACAATTAGACAGTTTGTACAATTATTATCCTGAACCTACTACCTACTTACTCTAAATAAATATCTAGGCAAGACAAGAAGGCAACGAGAAGGTTCTTGGTTCAAATCCACCTCCAGACCTTTCTGTGTGGAGTTTGCATGTTGTTTGCGTGTCTGCATAGGTTTCCTCCGGGTGCTCCTGTTTCCCCAACCACTAAAAACATTCCAATAGTCCCCCATAACACCACCCCTCTCCCGTCCCCTCTTTCTGGAGCCAGGACCCCTAAATAAGTCAGTGGTTTCCTGGTTAAATAAAGGTAAATAAATAAATAGGTTATTTGTGCCCAACAAAAACTCTGAAAAGAAAGTCAAATATCTCACATGTAGTTTGGCCTTTGCTATACCACAGGAATGTTTCGAATCTGGAAATACATGTGTAACATTCTTGACTAAGCGATACATCTCTGTGGTTACAAACACGAGGCGAAAACAGCAGCGTTTAGGCCTTGATTATATATACACCATACACATGCGGCTTATTACATTTTAGACCTACTGTGGCTCCAAGTGTCCCCTTTTTAATTTGTCCAAACTATTTCTTTTTATATCAAATAATTTTCAATTCACCTTCAAATGATGTCCATCCATAATGTCTGAATAGAGTTGAATTTTCTATTAACCCATGCATATATAACTACCTCCCAGCCTCAGTGATGGCTCTGGCAGACTTTAAGGTACATTATACATTGAGTTATGAGACGTAATTTAGGTGGGCTTTCATAATGCATCACATTCTTGGCCTATCTGTGATCTTGCTCCAGGTTGTTTATGAAGCCGCCTGCTGCAAAAGTAGATAATCTGAGTTTATACATTCAAATATGAGACTGTCTCTGCAGACGTCAGAGTGAATGACACCTTGACACCTGAGTCGTCCATCTTGTGACAGTGACAGTAATCTGCTTACTGTCAAAGTCCTGCATGTCTTTGTCTCGCCTACGCACACATTAACACTATCCGCTAATCTCGCACATATAAACACAGTGATCACGTGGACCCGCTACTACCCTGATGAAAAGATAAACTAAAAACGCATACAACAAATAGAATATTCACATATATTCACAATATTCACACTACATGAAATCCCTACTGAGTTGTACGCGCCTACATATGTGCTGATGGTGGAATTAAAGTTTTAGGTTAAGGTTAATACACTTATATTGTCCCTGTAGAGACATTTGCATTTGACCCATCTTCCCAAATGCCCCGGGGCAACCTGTCAGCACATCTCTAGGTGTTGATGCTCAGCTTGGTCAGGACCTTTGTCGGAGGATTAGGGATATGGTGTAAGAATAAAGGTTTATAGGAGGATTTTCTACTTCCGGGTGGATCATCAAGACTATTGGTCCACCCAGTTGTCAATCATTCTAGTAATAAATGCTCGTCAAATAAGACCAAAGAGTTTTGTTCAAAAAGTGGAGGGGGCGGTATTTTGGAAAATCCTCCTCTAATTAAGATTAAGAGATCCTATATTTGTCCCACAGTGGGGAAATTTCAGTGTTGCATCACCAGTTACAGAACAACAGGATTGAGTAGCACACAGCACACGATAAGATAAATAAACACTAACTCTATACTGAATAAAATGAAAATCTCCAACTCTAGCATGAAGAAGAAATGAGTATAAAATCTCCAACTTTTAGCATAATGAGTACAAAATCTCTGACTTTATGACTTTATCAAAATAAAGAAGTACCTTTGGCATAATAAGAAGCAAGTATAACGTACTGTGTATGTTTGGTGTGATGGAGGAATCCCGCCGAGGAATGGGAGAGAAACACGCAAACTCCACACAGAACTCAAGGGATCGAACATGTGACCTTCTTGTTGTGTGGCATGAGCGCTACCCACTTACGCTACTGCGATTCCAGAATAATAAAACTGTAGGTGTATGTGCCAAAACCCAGGATCAAACCAGGGACCATTAGATCTTTCTGTTTTCAGCTCATTCTGAAGTTTTGAGTTTTTTTGTCAGAATGATTTATACACAATAATAACGGTCTCCGAGGACCTAAGTATCGTAATCTTTAACATGCATCATCTGTATTCTTTTTGGGGGTGCACACATGCAGGGGTAATGTAATCACCAGGGTGTGTTTGTTAGTTAATGAGAACAAGAAAGAATATGACCGATTTAAAAAACATTCAGTACAGCTCGTAAATGAAACAAATAACTACAATTGAGAGGGGATCCGGATCTCTGTCTGGATGCATGAGTGTTTTAACGGAATGGAACCTCTTGGCAGGGGTCTGTTTATATTTCCTTTATGGCTGGTTGTTGGCCCCACCCACTGCTGTTTGTTATTTAAAGCCTTGCATTTGTCCACACGATTGCAGATATAACCTTTGCTGTCTGCAGGGCGGCCGCATCGAAAAGCCCACTCTTAATTGTGCCAGCACTCAAGGCTAACACAAGTGGGCAGAGAATGAAAACAAATATTGATGGACACACTTGGAGGTGCAGGGCAAGGGTTTGGTGACCTGTCCCCATGGCGCCCACAGAGACCCCTCCTCGGGCACTTTGTTTAATTGGTCGGTTAATTAAGGCATCTGCTGCAAAGTGTGCGTCGGATCCATAAACTAGAATCATTTCTCCAAACACACATTCGCCATAAATATAATTATATTGATTTATTTCTGCTGAAAAAAAGCCAAATAAACATGTGTCTGCATAAATCTTGTGGTGATGTGCTTGATAGATGATTTGTGAGTGTCGTTTCTCATCCGTATTTTTAACTGCGAGCTCGGCTCTGAACAAGTGAACGCCTTTTTCTTTTTTTAATACATCAGCATTAACCTTGGTGGCACCACACAAGGACTGAGTGAAAAAAAAATAGTTTTCTGCTTTTGTCTGCAAAAGAGAGGACACGATTAGAAGAATTTGATTGCATTTAAAAACCAAACAATTTAATAAAGAAGTGTGCGATATATATGCACCATATCTTTACCAAATGGGGCGACAGTAGCATTGGTCTTTGGGCCTTGAGGTCGTGGGTTCCAGCCCACCATGGGGCCTACTCCAACTGCTCCCACAAATGCCTACTGTCGTTGTGTCCTTGGGCAAGACACTTAACCCCACGTTGCCTGAAGCCCCCGCTGAAAGACCAAGACTGTTTCACCGCTGATTGAGCAGCCATCTCCCTGTGGACCCACCCCCTGCAGAGGATCAGCGTGGGACTGGTGCTATGAGCATTGGGTGGCAGCTCTCATTGCCACCCCCCATTGCCACCCCCCCCCCGGCCCAGAAATGGACTAATGAAGGGGTTGAAATGAATGAATGAAGTTTTACCAATGTATATTAGGATCGTTGTGATTCCTCAATTCTGAAAAAAATGAATAATCAATTGGCTAGTAATGCAACTTCTGTAACTTAGTTATTGTATTTAGAATATTGTTGCATAGAGGTGATAAAATGACAAAGGATTATAATTGATCTGTGTGGATTAGTTTTCTCATTGTTTTAATAGAAATTGTTGTGTAAAAGTAACATAGTGTAAACTTTTCATCTTTTTATTTTGCATATTGTAAGAAAAATCCCTGAGTCACTCCTTGACGCTTTAATGATAACAATAATGGTTTTATATAGCACTTTTCAGGACACTCAAAATACTTTTATTCTTTCACTCTGTACACGGTGGTGATAAACTGTTACTGTAGCCATGAGTGAAGGTGGTCCTCTCTTTGTCACTTTTCTGTCTGAAAATGCTGATCTTTTTATATATGTGACAGAGGCCAAAACAACATGTGAAAACTAAGGATAGGACCAAACTCTTTTAATAGGAACTATTTACACATTTTTATTTTTTAATTTAATTTCATTGTTTTTTGAAAGTTTGGTACCTCAGCTTAAATACTAAACTCAGCCCAAAGGCGTACTATAGCTCATTTCATAGATTCTGCCCCATTAGTGTAAACATAGTAGCTTTCGACATCAATACCTATTTCTTTGTTCTCAAAAACCTGTCTGAGACTTTTCCACAAAACTGCTTTTTCTTTGAGACATATGACGAATATATGTACGATCAAGTCTTTAGTCAATGCTGGCAGGGTTATCGAGGTTCTTGTTAAACTCCTGAGGTGTGTGGTGCCGTTGTCAGGTGCGCTTTGTTGATTAATGACTTTCGCATCGATCATAAGGCAAAGTGGACAAAGCAGGGCAAAAAACACCGCTCTCCTGTCACCGCCCATCGACTTCCAATCAATAATTTTAGTAATGGATGGGTGGTTATATACAACATTAACTCTGTATGTATCAAGGCCCGTTCGACAAATGCAAAGGCTGTTCTTTTACATGGGGGCTGGGAGTAATCTTGCCGTTTATTGATCGCTTTCCAAGTGCGCTCTCAAGAAATTCAAAAAGGTTTTCCACTGGAGATTACACCTCTGAATTCTTATCAATAATGCACTAAGATGGATGTTGACATAAACTGCTTCTGCTGTATTGTAGTGCGTGTTCAATTTAAATCCAATGATCATCTCTTATTCATTCCATCTTTTTTAAACCTTGAAGATGGATGGGTGGAGTTGGACGTGTTGTAGTCACATTTATCCACTTTCCAATATGGGAATAGAAGTTACACATAGTTTACCTTTTGCTTACTGTTGTGCTTGGAAAAGAACTACCCTTGCGTCAACAATCATGTAACCACAGAGATTTCTAAATGTGTGTGCATGTCAAATCTGAATCCGACTTTTTTTCCCCCTTTCTTTCCCAGTTGCACTCCCCCGTGTCTCCTGCACCAGAGTTTGAAAACCACATTCTGGCAGACAATGAGGTAAGTGTACGTTAAACCCCCCTTATTCCCACAGCTGCCATTTTCAGTCCCGAGACAGCAGCAGCTCGTCTCTCTCCAAAAAAAAAAAAAAAAAAGTCTGTCGCATGCAAGGAGACATCAAACACACAAAAAACTAGCAATTCCAACACTGATTTTTATCTTGTTTGAGTTAAATGAGTTGCATTCGAATTGACAATTTCTTTCATGCTTTGTTCCAGTCTGCCGTGTACTCCACCGTTAACCAATCAAACGGCTCCATAAACGACGATTACAAGGAGCACGACTACAGCAGCATCGCCGAAATCAAAGGCCTCGTGCCCGCTTCGTCCTCCTGTGATCTGTACGCCACCGTCAACGACTTGCTGCCCCACCAGAACCGCTTTGAGGAAGACCCGGTTTTGGACTGCCACGACCCAGGCTACGAGACCATCCGCATCCCAAAGACTGGAGGCTGCGAGCACGGGGGCAACATGGGAGCGGAGGGGTCGGGAGGAGCCAAGCCGGAGCCCGACTACGAGAGCCTGGCAGAGCTGGGGTTGAGCAGAGACATGTCACGACTTTGATTTTTTTTTTTTATCGACGCTGAACGGTGGTGACCTCTAGTGAGCGGTTGAGAAGCGGGCAGGCAGGTTCACGGAGCTGTTCGTAATCAATGTATGTGTCCGCTTTACGGCGAGGGTACGTTTATCATATCTAGCATTCGAACTAATTCAATCAACCAGGGTGAATGTCACTGGTACTGCCATGGCCTGGTGTTAAATGAAGTGCGGTACAGCCATTGGGCATCAATCATGTGGAACAGTGCACTTTGGTTTACCATTATATCTGACAGTACATATAACGGACGCATGAGCAACTCCTGAGTTGTGGGCAAAATCAATTACGTACAATTAGAGCTAGCCTGTGACGACCGAACGGGGCTGGCAGGTTTGGACGAGGGACACTCTTGGTGCCCGAACAAAAAAAAAAAAACAGTGCCATATTCTGTTTTTTTGTAACATGGGGGAAATGTGCCTCTATCTCCGTTTTGAAAATGTGTCAAAAAGTTGTATTCTCCAAGATGTTTTTTTTTTTTTTTATTGGCAGCAAATTTGAAAGGATTTACTCAGGATGTGGGGAAAATTTAATTGTATGGCACTGAAATGGATATGGTTTTTTCCAATTACATCTTGGTAAAAGGCAAATTGTTAGCCTTTCAAAGATTTTTCTAATGTCTGTTTTTGAAAATGAAAACCCCAGCTTCAGGAAGATCAATAGTTACATGATTCGAACAAATGCAGTTGTGCTTGAAAGTTTACACACCCAGGCAAAAATGTTGATTTCATAATTTTGACCTAGTTTTGCCGATTATGAAAGATAATACAAAAAAATATTCATTGATTGTTAGCTGTTGTGTAAAGCCATTTACTGTCAAATTAACATGTTTTCCACTTTCTAATTACAGACACAATATTATGGCAATAACAGAAAATTCTCATATCCCCTTGGTAATAACAGTGTGTATTGCCTCTTTAGCATCCATGACAGATTGGAGTCTTTTGTGGGATGGATGTGGAAGTGGTTTGTCATCCTCTCTGATGGGAAAGCTGCCCATTCTTATTGGCAAAAAGCCTCATTCATTCATTTTCTTTGCCTTTATTAGTCCATTTCTGTGTGGGAGGTGGCAATCCGAGCTGCCATCTAATAGTGACGCTCCTGCAGGAGGTGGGTCCATGGGGAGGGGGGGGCATCTCCGACAGCGATGACACGGCCCTGGTCTTTCAGCTCGGGCTTCAGGCAAAGTGGGGTGGTGTCTTGGCCAGGGACATGACGACAACAGACTTTAGTGGGAGTGGGTGTCCTGAGTGACCAGGACACCCATTATCCATGACCATTAGGTTCAAAGACCAACTGAGCCGGCACGGTGGCTGAGTGGATAGCACTTTCGCTTCTCAGCAAGAAGGTCCTGGTTTCGAATCCCGGTCGGAACAGGACCTTTCTGAGTGGAGTTTGCATGTTCTCCCCGTGTCTGCGTAGGTTTCCTCCGGGTGCTCCGGTTTCTCCTACCACTAAACACATGCACAATAGCTCTAGCGTGCTGCTCCTGTACTAGCAACCTAGTTCCCATCTCTGCGTGTGAGAGACAAATGCCCAAAAATAACAATTGTAAAGCGCTTTGTGACTCTGGTCTGAGAAAGGCGCTATATAAATAATGATTACTTACTCTTACTTACTTGAGCCGCTATCACCCCCTGTCCATGTACATTCCTGGGCTGCCATATTTGAGATCAACTCAGAGCAGCTCAATCGAATTCATCATGTTTGACAATATATCAAAACCACAAAAAAATGAGTGTAAAATGGTTTTGTTTTGGTGTTTGTACTCAAAATCGGCAAACTATGGCTAAAAAAAACGACGACGTATCTGGCAGGATGTGTGAACGTTCGGGCACAACTGTATTCAGACTTTTTTCGGAACAGACCGTTACTATTTATCTGAATGTTAGTGCCGCAGAGTTTCCTTTTGCTGATGCAGTAAGTCTCACGTCATGTGGCGGTTCACTTTTACATATGAGCTTATGATGTGTTTTATAGTCTGCCTTTGTAGACTTTATATTTATTTCAAAACTTGTATTGTCGTAAGTGTAAACGATGCATAAGCAAAATGAGCTTTTGTAAAAGTTTTTCAAAGTTTTTTACAAAGAAAGAACATTGAAAGCTGTAACGGTACACTTATTATGTGTAAAGAAGGCGTTGTATTTTCTGTTCATACTGTGACTGGTTTGTGTTTTATGGTTTTATTTCTTGAATATGCAGAAACATTCTAATCTATTATTGGTACATATGAAGTCGTGTAATCCTCACAGTATGCGCAAGGTGTTTGAAGACGGTACGAGCTCTTTCATTACTATTTTATCATTTTTATTTGACTTTTTGACTCCGATGCTTCTTGATATTGTATTACATATGAATTATATAATGTTGACAAATCGCACTACTAATACACTGTTCAAAGTCAGTCCTGTGCAAATGCTTTCAGAGTCTATTTCCGGGTTAAATATGATTAACGCTTCTTTATTCCTCACAGTTGCATTTCTTAAGATATGTGTTGATTATTATATATACAGATATTCTATATATATATTTTATTTTCAATGGTACAAAGTGGAAATACTAGAAGAAATCATTTTTTATCTTTGGACCATGCAAATACCTGGAGAAAATACTACAAAAGAAAATGTAAAGAGTGCTCCACTAAAAACTTGCACTGCACTGTCTCTGTACCTATTTGGATAATGTGTTCTTTTGTTTTTTTTCCTTAGACCCACTGCTATAAAACCCTGTGCTTAGTTCAAAGAGCTTAGTAGTCCAATGGTACATTATGTTGGTACTTGCTTTAACACGGTACTTTGTTCTAATTGATGTCTGTTTAGTTTAGCAATAGAACAAAAGAGGAATCGTGTACATACATCCTTCCGTCTTGTGTCAGAGTAGCCTTTCTGTTCATGTGACGTACCCAACGCTGGGAGACCCACCCTGGTTGACGGTTATATTAGATTCATAATTGATGTCACGCATTCAACATCTCCAGGCATTCCCTCGATTTCAAACGCGCCAATCTAAACTGTGTGCCCATTTCGGCTTGATGTATGCTAATTATCAGTGCTATGTACGCGCTCCCTGATGGCCCTGACCTTTTGCATATGTGGACATCAACAGGGCTTGACATTAACTATTGTTTCCCTGGAAAGCATTACTTGCCAATGAGTTATTTCAGCCGCCGTGATGTAATTATGCGCTCCAGAATAAACGGGTTGACAATTCTCTGTTATTATAATTTCATTCATCAGTATTGAAGAAAAAAGTGGTTAAAATCTGAAATGAAGTGATTGTGCCAAAATATACCAACAGTCAGAGGTGGCAGAATTACTAGACTTAGATATACTTAAAAGGCTACTTACTTATTAAGACCTTTTTAAACAAATAGATATTAGTATAAAAATCAACTCAATCAAATGTTTTTAATCAGTCCATTACTTAAAGCTGGGTTATCTAACTTTCTTCTCTCAAAAATAATGCCTTATACTCTGAAAGTCTCGTAGAAGAAAATTCTTGTGAACAAATTGGACTTATTATAAAACATGTAATCTTGTGAATACTTATAAGAAAAAGCCATGCAAGTCATTATTTGGCTCTTTGGGCTGAAAGGTGATTGGCTGAGTATGGTACTCTCGCTCGGCCAATCACGTCCCTCTTTCCCTTTTCAGTCTGAAAGTGGTCAAAATTACAAGCATGTGGAAGCTGGAGATAGAACAATACTGTTTTTCGAGTTGAGCGAATTAGGTGGACATTGTGAAATATGTTGTGGTTTTCAAAGTTCGGTACCTAAGTAAAGTACTGATTTGAGTCACTTGAAAGTAGAGATGTCGCGCCCTGCATCAGAACAATAAAAGTCCTATGTGTGACCTCTGAGAAAATGATGTGTCAAAAATAAAGATTGGCACCGATTCGGATGTAAGTCTATAGGTAATAGATACTGAGCTAAGTCCACTTATGGTCTCTTTATGTGGGTCTGGGTCATACAAAGCCCACCATGTCCCTTCGGGGAAATGGGGGGGCCCACTCTGATGCTCTCGATGGCTCTCTCCAGCTCTATGACTTTCTGTAATGATGTCATTTGTTTCCCTCACAAGCAGTGGACATCTCTGCTCTGACACTCGCCTTTGATCAGGGGGTAAATGCTGGTTTGGCAGTTATGGCCCCATCCGTCACCCTGAGCTCCCTGCCTCCCCCAGTCTCCGCATGTAAATATTTTATGATATGAATTGTTCTATTAAAAAATATATCGATAGTAAAAGTGTGTCATTGTCTTTGTGTTGGCTGGTGCGCTGTCACGTAGAAAGATGGTACCCTGCAAATTATTTTCTCAAAAACATTAGGTTTGACATTAATTAGGCTATTTGTTACTGGGATGACATTCGTTAGTACTTTGCCTGACACACTTGGTAATAATCCCCACAAATGAATCAGTCACATGATGAAATTGGTCCGTCAAAGCACTGCTAAGTTGTGTTTAATTTAGTTTAAAACAACTCAGAAGAAGTATGTCACATGGTGAGATCACACTGTTTTTTCAGGATGTCTGCTTCGGGAGTGTTGTCAGCTGCCAGCGCTGTTGTCGTGTGACAGAATAATAAGCGTTTCCCTGGAAGTGGCACAAAGGATGATGTCTATGTGTATGGTTTGAAACAATTACTTATTTATTAACATGTACTTGGGCTATTATTACAACACTTCTTTTAGAACTAAGCCCCAATGACGGTAAGATCTCAAATCCTTTCATTTACAATGACCTCCATGAAGAAATTGTGGTTAGTTATCAATCAGCTTTATTTGTGTAGCACATTTATAACACCAGCCACCCAAAGTGCTTCACAGGCACGAAAGCTATGGCATAAAATGGCATAAGGCATAAAATATTGTACAGTGCAGGGTAAGAAGCAGAGAAACACATCCATATGTTAAGGCCATTGTTACTGAATCTTTGAGTGTGTGCGACAGTGGCGCAGTTGGTAGTGCATTGGCCTTTGAACCTGAAGGTGGTGGGTTCGAGCCCACCATAAGACCTCCTTCACGACTTCCACTGGTGACTGCTGTGGTTGTGTCCTTGGATAAGACACTCAGCCCCACTTTGCCTGAAGTCCCCACTGAAAGATCTCAGCTCCTGTGGACTCACCACCTGCAGGAGGGTCAGTGAGGGGCTGGAGCTCTGACTGCCTCCCCCCCTTTCCCAGAAATGGATTTAGGGGAAGTAAATGGATGGATATTTGAGACTGCAGTGCACTACACATGTTTATATCAACTTTTTATAATCAAAGTTTTAATGTTAGAAAAAGTACACTATGATGGCCAAAGTGTTTATGTTGACATTTACAATTCTAAAGTGAGCCTCACATGAATCTCTTGTTTTGGGTTGCCAGTTCCAATGGTGAAGACTGGTGGTTTTATCTCTCACAAACCAACAGAATCTGTTGGTTGAAAATGTCTGAAAATGTTTTCAGCCTAAGCAACTTCAGTAATAATAAATATATAATTGTCCGGTGGTGCGGTTTAGTGAGAGTACAGGAGCTTTTGTGTTTTGCTCCAAATGCCAGAGGAACAGTCCAGACCACCATATTAAACCAGGGTGGTAAAGGAGTCCCTGAGGACCTTCAAACTAGGCTACATGTCTGCAACAACTAGGTTAGAGCTGTGTGGAGTGACTGACTGTCTGCACAAAGTTATCTAGCCCAAATTTCCCTTTTTCCACCGCCTTTCCCCGCGCTGAGCCCCCTCCCGCACTGCTCCCTCTCCATGCTTGCGTCATTGTTTTGAATGTGGCGTCCTCTCAGCTTTACTTTCAGACGGAGCAGCAGGAGCAGCAGGAGGAGCGTGGGGGCTTGTGGAGGCGTGTGCTTCTCGGACCAATCACAGGCTGCAGCCGGCGGACCGCACATGTTTACAGGCAGCATTCCGCCGGTAGAGCCCCTCACGGCACATGCGCACTCCGGACTGGATCACGCCGCGTTCTGGAGCGGAGTCCACACAAAGCCGCGGTCCTGACCCTGCTCGACACGCCGCAGAGGATGACAGCATCTGACACCAGGTGAGCCGCATTTACACGATGCCTCTTGGCCGCAGTGCATCCGTCTGAGAGGTTTCTACGAACCTACGTTTCCACGTCGTCAGATCGTGTACAAAAGGCTTTGTCTTCCGGAAGAGGAGCTCAACGCCACGTTTTCCGCGCTCCTCTCCAGCTCTGGGAGAGCAGTGGGAAAACAAACAGGTCCAGCCATAGAAAAAGATCGGGAGCCGGTTGGATGTAGAGGCAGTCGAGCTGCGAATGAATCATTTTCACACCGGCCACTCTCGGTAGCGCTTTCTCCAAGTTCTTTGCGCGGTTTGCGAATGCGCAGCGCGGAGTTTGGCGCCGCGGCCGCAGTCGGGGCCCTCGGAGAATGTCTTCTCAGTGTCAGGTTTGTTGGAGCGTGTAGTAGACCCGCTGCGGCGTTTCGTGTTTGTCGACGTTGTTTACTGGTTTTGTTTTGACACTTAGTGCTCTGAAAAACCCGTGGTGACGCGTGTGAATTTTCCGAGACTCTGCGAGATGCATACGAGGCGTTTGGTGAAGCGCTCTATCCTCGGCAGCCGCGTATATGCGCCGAGTCCGACCGGGGAAGACCCACCGGTGACAGGGCTGCTGCAGGCGGGCAAACAGGACCCCCGAGACAAGCGCGGTGTTTACACCGTGCTCCTGCAAGACGGCAGCCTCAAAGAGTTCTCCGAGGAAGACATCATCAACCACACAGCCACTAAAGGAGTGCTCAAGTCCAGCCTGAAGGTGTGTGAGAGAGAGAGCCATGAGAGCTCAGAGTGTGGAGCAGCCGCTTGTGTTGTTGTTGTGCGGGTTTGCAGAGTTTAACCGCTTCCTGTGCGGAGCGCAGTCACACTGCTGCCGCTTATGCGCTTGTGCTGCCAAATATAACTCAGCAGCACAAAGCCCGCGTTATAAAACAGTCTCCGCGTCATTTTGGGATCATATTGGATCGAATGGCGGGCTGTCATGACATTTGGCGACATCAGTTAAATGGGACAAAGGGCTTGATGGGGCCTGCGCAGTATTTATGCGAGCTGGTGGGTGGGTAAATTCATGCCAAACAACGCTCTGCAGCGTTTTGGGCCATGCAAAAAGCCGGGTCCATGTTATCATGCAGTGATAAAATGACTTGTTTGCATGTGATACGTGCACCCTTATTGCTATGCAACACAAGCACACATTTGCATGTTATACTTTTTGTTTTCTTATTCATAGATAAACCGTTTGTTGACACTGTACATTTCCAATCAAATAGACATCATATGGAATAATGCTGCTGTACAAGGCTGTTATTGTTTGGGATAAGGGATAGTGGGCCTCTTGTGACATTTCAGGGACAATAGTAAGTTTCAATCATGTCCATATTTGTTATGTGATATAGGCCTAATTAGCAGTGACCTAATTGCCTCCTGCACCAGCAGTATTACTCAGTGTCAGTCACATGGGCTCAAATAAAGAGGAAGAGCACTCAGGGGAACAAATACAGATTCTTCTGGCTTTGGGTAGATGTGTGTTTTCTCAATTCTTTTTATAGAGAGGGAGTGACTGAGGAATGCATTCACTGAATAACTACTTGTTTACCCTCTGATTTGGACTGAATTGGATTGGTTTGATTTCTTACTCATTTTCATTAAATTTCAACAGTGTTATGTTTTCCAAAACTCGGATGTTGGAGCCAGATGCAAGATATAATCAATCACTTTTAGTTACACACTTATAGCTGTGGCTTTCCTCTGTACAAGTTTTCGGCACTAACTCAAGTTCTGCACAAAGGACCATTACAGGTTTGAGGGGGTCGTGTCAGCTTGCAGAGTGTTAATTTAGTAATTTGTGTGCGTGTCAAATGTTCTTACAAAATACATCGCTCAATAGTCAATAGGGTTACAGTGGCCAGAGGAGTGGAGGCAGCACAATGGTCAAGTCTCTCAGCACAACTCAATTCTCACAGAGGACGAAAACAAGCCATAAAACGAGAAGGAGGAGGGGTCCGCGGTCCAATCCTCATATGTGGAAGCATTGTTTAAGTGAGATCTATTTTATTATCGGCAGCGTGGGGGTAGAGGGGGGGTTGTTTGTGAGGTCTCATGTGCAGCAGCTGTATGGCCAGCAACAGCGGGCAGCCCCTACTCCTTGAAAGCCCTGGCATGCTCTGATGAACCCCTGCTATTGGCTAAGCTCCAGTTTGGTACAACAGACCGACCCCCCCCCCCCCCAAATACAGGGAGGGGTGCGGGACGCCACTTGTTGACTTCAAGCAACACTATAGTTTTTCGGTCGCATTTTTTTGTGGCATCAACGCGTTAGTTTGGTCAATGAAGCGGGGTTGTTGACAGCAGCAGCCGGGTGACTCTTTGTTCTGTGGTGCTGATCCCAGGCCAGCGTCGGCTCCACGGCGCTGCACGGTGAAGTGTCCCTCTGATGATGAATGAGTAATCTTTGGAGAGAGCGAGGAGGCATCTGTTACAAGGCAGCCTGTTTTCATTTCCTTTCTTGGAAACGATCAGTAGCTCCAAATAACATTGTTTATAATACAAGAGTGGAGTTCAGAATCATGCATGACCGACTACAGCTTGTACTTAAGTTTGTTTGTGTATTTGGGCGTCGTTGCATGCGGCCAATCTGGGAAATATTGCAAATTCTGTTATTGTTGTTGTCACTATTTTCATTTAATTTGTCAGTTCTGGAAAAAAGTGAGCATTTGGGTGCAAGTACTTATTTGACTGATGTATCTGTGGATTATTTTTCCAGTTTCTCTTCATCGATCAGCTACAAAGTCAGGGCTTGCATTTTCTGCCTTTGTGTCAAAAGTGTTCAATTTCATTCCCCTTGACAGCTTGCTTTATTAGAACCTTTGACCTGGTAGTAAGGGTCTCGTTTTGCTGTTGCGCCTGACCAAGCACTGCCCCATAGTGAGCAGGTTATAGGCTTTGTAGAGAGGACACTTTCGGTAAACATTGGCTTTTTTGTCCTCTACTGTACAACTTGCATTTCACAACCGGTTTGGCATTACTGCTTCCTGGTTTAATCTTATATCAGCCAGGTTACTGAAGTTTACTACCACTCCACTTGTAACCCCTCCTCTGTGGCGAGTGTCTAATCCATCTTGAAGTATGTATTTTTACCCAGCCTTCTGCGTGCCATTGAGTGCCCATGTGACCTAATACCTGGTACTCTTTCTTGGAGAGCTTTCGCTTGAATTTCTTTCTCTTCATTAATCTAAGCTCTCCTGATGTTGTTGAATGAATTACTGAGGCCCACTGTAGTAGACAACTGATCTGCACTGCTGTGTGTAAAAACAGTGCTGCTCTTTGTGCTTTGTTGAAGTTACGTTGTCCGCCTGACTTTGTCCTGGACTTTTAAAAGTGTGTTTCCGTAAAACCCATTGTCTTCCGTTGCTTGTAGAAGGTGCGTGTGTTGGAGCAGGAGCAGGTCAAGGCTGAAGCTGCACTTGTGGATCCTTGTTGAGTTAAAGATTGGTGAACTTTCAAAACTCACGAAAGTAAAAGTGGTGGTCAAACCTAGAGAAATGCCCTGGTCTATAAACACTAGGAACTCAAAATCCAAGTTGGAGCACACAAAAGAGTCTGATCACACAGCAAAGGGGCAAACACAAAATGTAAAAATCAGAAAAGATACTTGTTTCAAACGATTTGCTACTGAGCCACTAATCTATGAAAATATAGATTTATTTTCACTGTAATGTAGACAAAAGTACAATAGTCTTTTTTATGCCTTTACTAAGATATGAAGTCATTCAAGAAGAGCATCTAGACAGCATTATGACAGTTGTCATTTAGTGGAAATATTGTTATTATGGCTGAAACAATGAATCAAGGTGGATTGTAATCTAAAAAGCTAATAATTCAATTTCCTTGTTTATTCTGTTGATTTATGGCATTACTAAAAACATGAAACTGTATGACACAGAACTAATCTCGGCATCTGTTTTATATAGAAATGTGTTGATCACACAGAAACTACAAATTATACCTTTTTTTTAACACTGACTCTAATTATGCAGTTCAGGATGTTTTGTGGTAATGAAAAAGTTAAGAGATCACATGATCGATAGGTTAATAATTGATGGATTACTCTCGATAGCTGCCGGCCTAAATAACTATTCTGTTTTGTTTACTTCTGGGTAGGAGTAAAAACCAGCTAATGCAGAGTTTCTCATGTATTGCATGTCATTTCAAATATGTTTAATTCAACACTCTTGACTTAAAGATGACCCAAATTAAAGAGCACTCCCTTGTTGTCACCAGCTGCTTCTGTCTATTGGGAAAACAGTTTTTCACCATAGGTGTCCAATTATTGTAAGTAAGAGTTGAAGTGTCTGTAATGTGCTGCGCTTGTCTTTCCGTCGGCTGTAACGCGAGGCCAGAGGTCATGTTTACAGCTCTGATTTATGTTAACCATCATTTATTTTGCTGCTGAAATTGACAATCTCACTGTTGCTGCTTCCAGAGATCTAATAGACTCGGTCTTTTTTCACAGCAGAGTAATGGATGTTCTGACGCTCTGCGGCTGGAGGCTTCTCTGAGCCCAGAAGCAGTGGAGGAGCTGAAGCGCCTGGGCCCCGACACTCGCTCCGTGTCTCTGCTGGAACAGAAACGCAAAGTGGTCTCCTCCAGCATCGACGTGCCGCACGCCAGGTAGGACTCCCGCTCGGGCTGACAGTCTGATTTGTGCCCAGGGAGACCGGCTCAGGGTCATCTAAAGTTTATGACATAGATGAGCCATAAAATATACAGTTTTTATTTGGCTTGACATGCCATTTTTCCTTATTAGACTTGAAGCAATCGACGTTGACAGGGATACCCCATTCTGCTTCATACATTTCATCATGTATTCTCTGACATGTTGCATAGGCTGAGCCGCTGAGAATCTATTATTAATGATGTGCCAAAATCTTGTTGGTGACCGACCGTATCATTCATGTTTTACTATGTCGTCATTTAGATTTTTTGGATATAACTATATTGTACATATAATTTCCTTAAACCTTAAAGGACAACTCACCCTCAAATCCACTTTTTTTTTTGCTGATAAACGGTTAATATGTACCTGTCTGGTCTTAGTCCGTGCGCTCTGTCATGCAAACGGAGCAAAAACGGGAGCACAAACGCAGCCTCCTCTGTATATTGTGTAGGACCAAAAGGAAGCTCCCGCTAGAAGCTACCAAACTCTTCCAAGTGTTCCCTATTAAATGTATATAGTTACGTGACGTGTTACACTGCAAAGTACAGTAACACAGAAATGTAACTGTCGATTTTCTCAGCGGATAAAACGGGTACTATATTGTGAGGCGTAGTCTTCTGAGGAGCGCTACGTCCGCGCACTAACTTCTCTCCGGAGACTTCTCTCTCGCTGCTACTGTGTGTATTACAAGTCACGCTGCTTCTATTGACGGAAGTGAGCGAGAGAGAAGTCTCCGGAGAGAAGTTAGTGCGCGGACGTAGCGCTCCTCAGATTACTACGCCTCACAATATAGTACCCGTTTTATCCGCTGAGAAAATCGACTGTTACATTTCTGTGTTACTATACTTTGCAGTGTAACACGTCACGTAACTATATACATTTAATAGGGAACACTTGGAAGAGTTTGGTAGCTTCTAGCGGGAGCTTCCTTTTGGTGCTACAAAATATACAGAGGAGGCTGCGGTTGTGCTCCCGTTTTTGCTCCGTTTGCATGACAGAGCGCACGGACTAAGACCAGACAGGTACATATTAACTAGTCTAAGGTAAGGTAAGAACATATGTCAGTATGTAAAAACGGTGAACTATTCCTTTAAATATTTTGAATTGTATTAATCGATAAAACATACCTCTCGTGGCACAACACAGATATTGTATTTACTGACCCATGTATGTCTCAGAACAAAGAATGCTCAATGTCAATAACTTTGTACTTTTAAAGTCTTATACATTTGGTTGTGTTGGAGCTCTAGTACAACTGCTCTGTTCATCTGTTCATCGCAGACACAAATGAAGGCGTTGCATGTTTGGTTGTGAATGCACTGATGTGGGACATGTGTAGATGGTCAGCATAAACCCCCTCTGAGGCAAGGCCACAACTGAGCAATTAAAGATTAATGAGATGGGCCCCGGCGAGTGAAATGCCATCTAACGAAGAAACAACACACAGTAAATGTGAAACACTAATCCCTTGTAAAGCAGAGCGCAGTTATTGGACATCACTCCTCATTACTCCTGCTCATCCTCTCGGTGGCGTCCAATCGATGTCAACTTGCTGAAAGTACAGTAAAAGTCACCCGCTCAAGCAGCTTTATCACTTCATCCCGTGTGCTGCTTTAAATTTAATAGTTCTTTGCTGCTGATCCATTGATTTGTTTCTCTCCACTTGCCCATTAGCATGAGAGAAATCTGTTTTTGAATTAAGTCTGTCTCTTAGCCTCGACATTTGTTTCATTCCTGTCCCATTATGACAACACCCTTGAATCGGGATTGCGCTGTATTGATGGTTATTGTGAAATGTTTTATTGATTATAAGTGTCCTTGCTCAAATTTGGCCTCAGCTCAGGGACACGCACTTTATATATCATTGTTTATGGCTCTAATGAGAGCAATGGATGGCAGGAGAGCCATGGACGATATTGAATGTGGTGCCAATAAAGGATTAGCTTTCATATGCAATAATCCCAACACACTAATGCACATACTTAATTCAAACACCCGGGTTTTATTTGAGTCCATTTTGTTACCCAATTACAACTCTTCAATCAATATTGAACAAGGCAGGGACCCCAACGGTATATTCAAGATGTACAATGAATCTACTAAAAATACAAAGAATGTTATTGAGCCTAATGTTGAGATGTGTGCTTATTTTACCATTTAAGCAGTTTTCAGTTAAAAGTCTTAACAAACATTTCTGACCCGCACTTGGACACAATATGCCCAAAGATAAATTGGATACTGTTAAAGATTGCATTCTTCAATCATGCATTGTCTGAGTAAGCAGATGTAATCATGTAAAAAGCCATAAAAAGACATCTCTCCATGAGTCTTATCTTTGCACCTCTGCTGAAGGAATGTGGTCTTCTTGCCAGGTATAAAAGCGAACAGTTCTGTTGGTATGTGGTTGTGTGCAGACGGGTGGCCTTGGCATGGTCACTGCAGGCCTGGCCAGTGTGCAAAATGCATAACTTACCCTAGCCATTTGGCCTCCCAAAATATCCACTACTGTATAATTATTCAATCTATGTCAAGGCAAAATACTGAACAGACTGCACCAGAAAAGAGAACGTATTGTGCATAATCTGATGCAATTTTACAAAACAAAAACAGGAGTTTGACATGCCAGTGCAGTCACTCTTTCAGTCTGTTTGTGTCTTTAAGATTATTTTTGAGATAATTAGCACCTTTTATACTTCTAAATACTAAATCACTTGTGTAATTGCTGTTTTTCTAATTTAACCACTGCCAGGAAGGGTGCTGTATAATTCCCCAATCTCCGTTGAACCGTATCTTAACTTTATCTCTCATTATTGACTTAATCCATCCAGTCAATGTAAAGCCAAATGTCCTATCCACTGTATAGATTTAGTCTTTCATTATTTATGAGGCTCTGGACTCAAGAGATCCTTTTGTGCCGGGGCAAACCAAGTGCACAACCCAGACTTTCAAGAAATCCATTTCTTGCCCAATTTATAACATGTGCTCCCACGATGAGGAACATGAAGAGTTCACCAGCACTGGATGCACGACGCCATGTCGCACCCTTCACACACACACACACACACATACAAACACACACACATATACTCCTATTGTGACCCCTCCGCCACTGCACGGGACCATTATTGCGGTAAGATTAAGATCCATGGCTCTGGTCCTCTCGGCACCTGCGACCAATTTTCAGGCCGGGAAAAAATGGTGTCACCAGAGTGCAACCAGGGAAGTTTACAGGAGCCAGATGATATTGAATAAGAGTAGAAAGAAGAAGCTAGAGGTGTAAAATCAAACAATAGAGTAATCAATGATGTCTGCTTGTATTTACCACTTTGCTACAGCTACTTCCATTATACTACAATTATGACATTCTACCTTTCTTTGACTGTCTTTTTAAATCATTCACCATGTAACTTATGATCGATCTGCTATGTCATTACCGTCACACCTTCAGGAGCAGAGGCGAGATAGATGGTTTTTATGTAGTTTCTTGGTGGCAAGATCTGACCTTGAGGTTGTTAATTGCACTCTCCAAACTTGCCTTTCTGCCGGTGATTTACCAGGAAAAACGTCGGGCTGCTTGATGACTCTCCAGGTCCCTTGTAACCTAGATACAATAGGTTCCCCAAGCTCACGGGCTCACTGTCTGAAGTAGCTTCTGCAATCATGGCTCGGATGGAAGAGAAATGACAGCGTGCCACATTGAAGTTGCACCTCAGGGGTTTTATGGAGCTACATTTTATGTTTGCGTCATCAATCCCAGTGCCCATTACTTTAGGGTTGTATTATTTGTTTACTGCACATTGGAGGTTCAGGAGAAAGGGGAGAAAAGCGTGTTAGATGATGTGGACTATCCCGTTAACAATGTAACGGCCGGCATTGTACATTTTGGGCAGTCACCATCCAACTATTAGTATCTATTAAATTTGTGTTTGAGGCAGTAAAATCTACATAAAAATCAACACCCTAACTTTCTATCTTACGGATGGAATGAAACACAGGTTACTAAGTTAAATAAGAGCGCGTTCACACTTGTTGGCTGTTGTTCACTTTAAATGGACTAATTCTGGTTCAATTGGGACAAAATGATTTATTTGCAGTTGTTGAGCTGGTTTATGTGAAGCACTTTGTTACTGTATGTATGAAAAGGGCTGTACAAATTAAGCTTGATTCAGATTCATTTTAGGTTGATGGATGTAAAACCAGCAAATCAAGTGATCGTGTGTCCACTAGTTGCAGTTTTCATATTTTGTATCAGATCTATGAAGCAAGACCAGACTTGGTCCAGTTAAAGTAAACCTGTCCAACAAGTGTTTTGCAAACATAGGTGTAGTTTACTGATTCCGTGACTGACAGTGTGGCTCAAGTGTTTTGCACATGGATACAACTACTAATTAACAGTCTTAAACGAAATCATATAACAACAACAGCTTTCTGAAGCCAAATCCAATCCATTGTAGCAAAAAGAATAATCAATAAACTTAATTTTATGTGTGACCCACTTTCCTAACTCCCTGAAGCATTCTTTTCCCAAATCTTGTGTGCGCTGTAGAACAACAGGGCAGCCTGGCAGATTTGTTTTAGCTGTTTTTCTACATCTTAATGCACTGACATCTCTACATTGTCAGGCTGTGGTCTGAGCCAGCTGCCAAATTCTGTTCCCTCCTCCTACGAGAGCTTATGTTTTCTCCAAGCAGGAAACAGTCAATTGTAACAAGAGCTATAGTGAGGGCCGACCAGTGGAAAAGACGCAATGGATGGCTTGGCTTTTGACAAATGGTGTTCTATGGACTAATTGCTAGCAGGGGAAGTCAAGTACAACCTTAGTTTTGTGGATAGAAATTGAAAGCCCACTGCTTATTATTACAAAGTCCAAAAAACAACACATCTGAGGGTTGGGATCTTTTCCTTCCCTTTCAATGTGTCTTGAAATAACAGGCCCCCTCGCTGCGCCTCTGTG